GTCCTAAATCCTGGTTTCGGTTTATTTAGAACTATAAAAAAAAACCACAACACCGGTGTTGTAAATTTTGTTTTATGCTAGATATATTGTGCATTATTTTGAACCTGGTATATGCTGGAAAATCCTTTGAAGTACTTGAAGGTACTATGACCACAGACAAACAGACGTAACTCTTTGAAAAAGTTGTTCTTGAAAACATAGTATCTCAAAACATAGGACCTCAGTAACGACATCTATCTGGCTTCTCGCGGAAAACAAGCTTGCTCGCTAACTCGCAAAGAATATTGCATAAAAGTTCTATAGAATGTATAGAAACGTCAAAGTGATCCGATGCCAGCGCTGCGGCGAGTAGTTCGCGGAACTGATAATGTTCAAATCAACAGTTAAATGCGTGAACGAAGATACACAATGAAGAGTTACGTCTGTTTGTCTGTGCTATGACGTTTTGATAACTTCTCTAAAATGCTGGGATATTCTTGTGAGATTTTTCGTATTCTCTACAATTCTGGGAGCTTCTTTTGATTTTTAGCAGCTTTGGAGAAGCTTGGTGTTCTTATATTAAGTATTTGGACTAATTGAACTAGAACTTCAATCCGAAAAACAAAATTGATGTGCAAGCAAACTATCTGAAGTTCTGGGAAATAATTTAAAGTTCTATGAACTTTTCCTGAATTCTCACATTGTCTAAAGGAGCATTCTTCTAGCGTAGCATTTTTTAATAATTCAAGACCCCCTACCCCTTCGTCCTTAAAATCAATAAACTTCTCTGAAGCTCAAAGAGCTTTTTGAACTTCTGACATATTCTGCCAAGTTCCTCAAACTTCCTTGACGTTCTGCGATATTGAATGAAAAACTATAACCCTATCTTTAGTTAGTTTGGTCTTGAAATATTTTGTTCTTTGGAATTCTTTGAGATTCAGGGAACTTTTTTATATGCTTTGAACATTATTGAAATTATAAAAAATTTCCAAAGGATTAAAAAAAAAGTTAAGACTTCTTCGAAATGCTGGCAGATTCTAAAAGTTGTTTAATTTTTTTGGAAGCTGGGAGAAATTCTCTCAATATATAAAGTTGTCTGAAATTCTTAAACTTTCTCTGATGTTCTAGGATCTTCTATGAAACTTTTAAGCTTCTTTAAAATTCTGTAAAATTCATTAGTTTTTAGGACTTCTCTGAAATTTGAGGAAAATCTTTAAAAAATTTCAAAATTTACCTGAAGTTCTTTAAAACTTTCTGAAAACTTATGATCTTCTCTTAAGGCTTTGAGTTAAGATAACATGCTGGAGGATTCTCAATAAACCCTTCAAATTGCTCTTAACTTTTGAGATTTTTTTTAAACTATATATTGTTGAAATAAACTGACGCAAGGTTCTTAAATAATTTTGAAGTTCTCCCAATGATCTTCTCTGAACTTCATTAATATCTATGGAACTTCTTGAAGTGATGAGTACTTCTATAAAGTTCTGAGGGCTTCCCTCTAAAATTGTCGTGTACTCCATGTTTCGTTGAAGTGAATTACTGAAGTCTAAGAAATAAGAACATTTTTAAAGCTATTAAATAATTTTAATAAATTAACTTCACATAATGAAGGATTATTCATCTTCTCAGTGAGAAAAATATAAGTGAGTTTATATAGTAATATAATTGGTTAAGTATAACTAAACTGTTTTGTTTTTTTGAGAAAAACTAATTGTTGCACCAAAATAAAATATCTTTAGAATACGGGGATGTTGTTGTACACGGAGAACAAATTATAGCAGATGCAATTATTTTTCCGGTCAAAATAACTATATTGTTCAATTGTTTTAGAGATAACCCGAAACTATAGTTGATTTGACTATATATAGAGGGCAACAACTATAGTCCATAGTTGGCTCCTCGATTGGTTCAACTATATTTTTCAGTAGATGGACAAATGTCAAACTTCCAAATACAACTATGCTTTAGTTGATTCAAGAAAACTATTGTTAGGGAAGCAAAATTTTACAATGTTTATTAAACGAACTGCTCTTTATTATCGACAAACTTCCTTAATGTTTTGCTTCTTTATCGATCTCAAAAACACAACTGCAAAATCATAAAAAAGGTGAACTAAGAGTTGAACCGTGTTCATCTGCGTGAGAGCCAGCTATCTTTTCGCCTGCTCTACGCATCACAAGGTAAAAGTGTGTGGATTTATGATGATCATTTGAAACCAAATTATACAATTAAATTACATTTGACAGTTGTTATAATTGATCAAAGTTAAAGTTGAATTGAGTATAAGATGAACAGTTGAATCTATTAGGTAGATATTATTGAGTTGACGGTCAAATTAATGTTGGAATATCTATAGGTTTCTTTCAAACAACAATATTTTTCCATGTGAAAGTAACTATTAGAATTGTTATCTTAACTTAACGAATTTGTTCTCCGTGTACGGTAGCGACACCTCAAGTAGAGAGAAGAATCAGAAATATGAAGAAAAAAAAGTGAGTTGCACGAAAAGACCTGTTTTTGTTTCAATAGTTTGAGTCCATATTAATAGTTTTTATGTGTTTTTTAGGTGAAGTGGCTATGTTGAACCTTTTTCATGTATAAAATCAATGATTCCATGGAGCATTGTTGAATAACGAGGCGATTTGTGAATCGATGATTTTTGTGTGTTTAATTGTGTGTCCAAACTTCAATTTTTAGAAAATTATACAAAAACAAGGATATGGCAGAAATAGAGCTAGCTCAAGCCATGCTTGATGGTGTCGAGTCAGTGCGCAAAATGCAAGCGTCGCAAAAACGAGCAGCTGACAGCATGGAGGAAATAGTCAACAAGAAGAAAGCAACTGTTATAACTAACTACTTCGGAAAGAAGTAGTACTAATTTCCCTATTTTGGATCCTCTATTAGCTGTCACTAGATTCATGTACTATTCATTGTTGATTTTAAACTGTTTATTAATAAGGTGAACGCTAACCTGATACTTTAACTTGTCAAATATATATATTGGTTCCTTGCAATCTGCATTCAAAGTTGAAGTCATCATTACGTTTTTGTGGACCACTCAGTGTTCGCTGAAGGATTGTTTACGTTCTGATGATGGATGATAACAAACTTTTACTGGAAAACAAGGAGAAATTCATACTAATCAAAGAATCTAATCTCGGCACAGAAGCACAAGATAAGGTTGAATCACATTAAATTCAACCCACAAATAGACATTCATTTTACATTTTTTTTTCTATGGGATGGGAGTTCACTATGGGATGCTAAAAGCTTTAGGGTGTTAATTTGGAACATCTGACTATATGTTAGATTTTGCTGTGCTTCCGTAATTGGTAATTTTCCGTTTGATTTAATCAATATTTTTCATAAAATAGATACTGAAGAATTGTGAAAGGAAATGGATTTTACCGGATAATCGCTCCAGTTTTTCTGACCAATTACAATAATACCAATAGTGCACTAAACGAAGCGGTCAAATTTAATAAGAGGCGTAATGCATTAGGAGATGCCATTAGATAACGAATAGTATTGCGAACTCAAAGCTGACAAAAACTCATATGGGACTGATGTGCAGCCCTGCCTGTAAGAAAACTGACAACATATAAGTGCTTGTATACAATACCAACCGAGGGTCACAGTCTCGCCATTCAACGCTCAAAGCTTGAGGGTATTTGTTCAAATGAAATACTATATGGATGCGCATGAAAGCTAGTAGAATTGCCAGTCTTCTTGGTACGTTGAAGTTCCATCGAACAGCTGAAATTTAGATGTGTTTTCCTGCAGATGAAGACAGATTATATAGGTTGTTGTATTATAAAACACGCAAAAAACCATACAATAGCGATTTTTTTATTAACGATAATTATAATGAATTTTCATAGCATAATGTTTAAAATGTAATACACATTTTGGGCCACAATTATGAATTGGAACAGGTTTACTGAAAAAAGCATTTATCTTGAAAATTGAACAAAATGAAAGAGTAGCCAGCAGCAGGCTAGTGTAAAAATCAATCACTCGTGTCTGTTTACAACAGATACCGATCATACAAGAACAAATACTACTAATATTGACAAAATGCTTAAAATCTTCTTATACATTTTTAAATTGGAGCTCAATAAGTTCTACTTGGGTCTCCTTTTTTGGTCACTTTTTGTGTCTTAAAAGTCACTTAATGGTCACTTTTTTACTCATTTTAGTCACTTAATGGTCCCTTTTTTACTCATTTTAGTCACTAAAATCACTATTTTTGGATATATTTGGTGCTATCAGCCCTGAAGTTGAAAATAAGCGAAGGGCCATTAATGTCAGTAGTCAAACGCACGCTTCTTTACCTACCTCATACAATATACTATATATTTGTTTTTTTTTTTTCGGGAATTGGTTGGACTGCCTCGTACCATGTTTAAAACTTGTGATAAATGTGGATGTTTTTCGATGTCTGGGTTTTTTTTTTCTTCTGAAAAACAACTGGAAAATCAGGGGATATGAGGGAATTTGTTTTATTCATTTAGTCGACACCCTGCATTAGAACTACATAGTTTTTAAAATTGTTTGTTAATATTGACAAAAACGGATTCGAATTGTGTTTCGTACTTGAAATTCTAACATGATGACATTTCGAGGGGCCACCCCATCTTCTAACCATGTGTGCTGTTTGTTCCAGTGTGTTGTGTTTTATCTCTCCTGTTTTATCCTTTCCGCACTATTGCGGCCATCGTGCTTTGGTATTTTTCTTTACCATCACTGTCCTCTTTTTTTTATGATACGAGTTATGTGTACCTCCCTCCTTTTGGTTGCTGTAACATAGAGTGAATAATAAACAAAATCAATAAAACCTTAATTTTTTTTTCTAATGCCTTTTATCTAATATCGGTCGTTGCTACTCGTGTTTGATGATCCTATCCGGTTCTCTATCAATTTTATTGCATAATTTTTGCAATAATAATGTTTGTTTGGATGGTTTCGATTGGTCCTATTTCGCATTGGCTAATCTATTTTCATGCGTTTGATCCATCCAGTTGCCGGATTTGACTGATATCACCAACAGCGTTCAGGAGCTGGTCTCCGGTAACATTGCAAAGGCAGTGCAGGAGGGAGTACGGGACTTGGAGAGAATGAAGCAAGCACTGAAGCGTACCGTGACCGACAGCATCCCACTGGTGATGGCAGCCGCAGATTCCACAGGGCGTGCCATCAAATCCGCTTCCGATGAGCTCACGTCGAAGTTGTACAGCGTTAACGATATGATTGGGAACAACACGTATAGGCATCTGAATACAGCTGATTCGTACATTGCACAGTACAGTATCTATCGGTACTATGCAGGCCTGGCAGTGAGTTCGATTCTGCTGCTGATTCTGATGTGTTTGATCTGTGGTTTGTTGTGTGGAATCTGCGGAAAGAGGCCGGACGGCTATGGGGACGATTGCTGCAATAAAGGAGCCGGAGGACGGTTCTTGATGTTGTAAGTAACAATACTTGATTTGAAAATTGAACCTGCCGATGACGATGTAATTCTTTTACAGTGGTGTCGCCATAATCTTCCTCACCTTTTCGGTCATGTTGGCATTCACGTTAGTTTCTTTCCTGGCGGGAAGTCTCTTCCGACGAGGTGTCTGTGATTCGCTGAAAAAGCCCCACGACAGTCAAATGATCACCTACATTGATGCGTACTTTAATGTGAATAAACACTACGAAAGAATCGGAACCCAGAGTGCACGGTCCAAGTGGAAGCTGCAGGGTACCAATCAAAAGCTAGATCCGATTCGAATCGCTGATGTGATTGAGTCCTGCCGTGGTAACAATTCGATTTATGAGGTAGATAACCAACATACACAACCAAGCAAAAATTCAAATTCTAATGCTTATTTTAAATTTAAAAGGTACTGAAACTGTCAAACTTCTACGACATCAAAGGAATTCGACAGTTCCCAGAGGACTACGGTATCATTCGGGAACTGAACGCCCTGACGGAGAAGATTGAGATTGGACAGGTGGAAATTTTGAATGAACAAGCCAAAAAAGATATCGAAATTTTAAGGGACTCCCGTTTGAATGATTTCGAAGCGTACAAGTTTGTCGATCACGTAAGTTGAACGTGTCAACTTTTTATCTATCATCATCAATTAATACCAATCGTTTGGTTTCTATTCACAGTTGACGGATAACATCACGCAGAATAACCTCAATGACATTGCCGATAGATTACGCACGGTGGCCAAGAAGGCTCCATCGGGCAAGGATATGAACGAAATCAAAGTTAATTTGATGAATCAGGCTCTGCATTTGTCGTCCTATCAGGTACGTGTGAGACAAAGTGAACAACATCATTCAATTTTACTATCCACGCTTTCCTTCCCAATAGTCCAATCTAGTTGATCCGATGGTTCGTTACACCAAAGAACTCGTCAATCTATCGACCACACTCGAGGATAACTTGAAGTTCGGCCATGATTCGTTTGCGGTTGCCATCGATGATTTCCTGACCGAGATCCAACAGGCCGAAACGTACATCAACGGCAAAGGACAACCGTTCGTGGAACAGGTGACCACCGAACTGACGAATGGCGTTCTGGGGCATATTTATGCCTATCTCGATTTGGTGATCGATTCGACCAGCAAAGACATTGGTCGCTGCGGGCCACTGAACAATGTGTACGAATCGATGCAGGTGGCCACCTGCCATAGGATTGTGGATCCATTCGTGAGTGTTTCTGCAAAAAAGTTGAATTCCTCTGTATCAATTTGTTTTTATTTATTTTTTTAGAACGGCTTCTGGGCCGGCGTGGGATGGTGCTTGGCCATCTTCCTGCCTTCGATCGTACTGTGCGTGAAACTGTCCACGCTCTACTCCAAGTCTGATCCCTATCCGGGACCACTGGTCGAATCGTAAGTGCCGCATATATTCATTACTCTATTCATCCAATCTCACACAAACACACACACACACACCAATCACACCACTACTTGCGCCCTGATAACGTTCGTTTTGAAAGACTAATAATTTGTTTATTTTATATATTACTTTGGTAACATCATATCTTTATTCTCATGTAGACAACTCGGTTCGATCCAGAGTTCTTCTTGAATCTTGTGTTTACTTCGTTTTAATCTGTTTCTCCTGTAAATTACACTAGAGTGTAGGCGCTACTTCAACATGAGATTACACACTTTCCATTTTTAATACATATTCCTATCGTATGTAGTAGTAGATAGTGCCTGCCGTATGCGACGTTGATTGATTTTAGAGCTTTAATTAGTGTTAAGAGTCCAGCCAATAAACTGTATTTCAACGTTGTCTCTGTGTAGTATTTCATTATTTGCCCATTGAAAGCTAACCTACCAACTAGTTGTTCATTAATGTAAAGTTAACGAGTTCTGATTAGTGTGCATACAAAATATTAACACGTTAAGTGAACGTTATGTAACGAGCTAACAATAGTCAATGACGTAGTTTGGGTTCTTCAGAGTGTTTGGTAAGTCTTATTCCTTTCTACTTCAATATTTCCCTAAATAACAACTGTTTTCGGAACCTCTCGACTAACTCTTGCTCTGGAAATTAACTCTTGATCTGCATTTTAACTTTCTTTTAATGTGTGTATTCTTTATTGTTATAGTATGTATTATGTTGATGAATTAGAATAGGTAAGTTCTAATAACATAGGGGCAGAAACTCACCGTTGGTCGTGAGAAGCATATGTAGATGACAAGGAATTGATCGGAGTTGCCTTACAATGAACTTTCTCACGTGACAATTAGTCAGTCTATGGTTGTATGTCTTTGTGTCGTTTACTGGGCTTTGTTACCTCAGAATCGGAACAACTCTTAAGATGAGATAAGGTGCTCACTGGATCTATAAACCCGACAACTTTCTCACAGGATTGCCTCCTAGAAAGATACTTACCTTAAGCGATAGATTTTGAACGGATTACATAAATAAATAAAGAAAGTCGTCTGTCCCAATTTCGTAAGTCAGCTGTGAAATTGCTCATCTGCCATCTGTCAAATTGTCTATGGGGTGCCGCAGCAGTGTCCTTGACGGTTGAATAAAGAGTGCGACCAGCTTCTTAAAGGGTGTCCCACATCAAATTGCATCACGGAAAAAACGCTGTAGAAAATTACCTAGTTGACCGATCCTTTCAGATAATAAAATATAACCCATCAGTAAGCTTTTGGCATATTTATTTCATTGCTCGCACCTTGCGCTTAACTCCACTCATTAAATTCTGTACAACATCTGGCTGCAGCTTCTTCTGTACGGAAACCCATTTTTTCTACATGTCTTCCTCAGATTTGACCTCCTTGGGATTCTTCCGTAGTGCCTGCTTCATAATAGCCCAGTATTTTTCGGCCTTAGTTCCGTTTGGGTTTGGGGGGGGGGGAGGGGGTTCATGTCTTTGGGTACGAAATTGACCCCGTTGGCTTCGTAACACTCCAGGAGAACATTTGAATAGCGGCACGAAGCTAGATCCGGCCAGAAGATCGTAGGGCCCTCGTGTTGCTTCAATTACAGTCCCGGTTGTTTGAAAGTTTCTGCTTCCTTACTTCCTCCGGAACATCAAACTTGTGCTGGGCGATGAAGAACAGTAGCCCCGGAAGCAGCCGAAAGTTCGCCTTGACGTAAGTCTCATCATCCATGATACGGCTTCGTCAGCATCTGGGTGTACAGTTTCCGGGTCCGTGACTTTCCCACGGTATTTTGCCGTTCGTCACGATTCGGAGCCTTCTGCACTTTTTACGTATGCAGTCCCTCCCGGTCCTTGGCTCTCTGAACGAAAGACTAGGACAGATTCAACTTTTTAACCACATCCCTGACCGAAGCATTGGGATTCGATGCTCAGAGTTTGCGCAAAATCAATTCGCGACGTTGCTTTTCGGGTAACGCAATTTTTTCCAACTACCCAAATTTTCAAGAGAAAATACCCAATGGGTGATTTTCTACAGCGCTTTTTCCGTGATGCAATTTGATGTGGGACACCCTTTAGTTTGAACCCTCCCTGTGACGATGATGATATATCTCCGAAACTCTCATTTAGCGGTTCCAGTAGTCAGTGCAGTATATTGCCCAGTTAGAACGGCCTGTTTTGTATATCTTCTCGAGCAAAACAGAATTTACTGCCATGATTGAACTTATTTTGAATACTCCAGTTGATAAAACGGAAAACTAATCCTGATTAGTCATTATGATAGGAACTGCAAACTTTAATATCGATTTGCTTTCATTTTGTTAACCGACTTTCCTCGGGTTCTTTGTCTCCCTGCTAATCATCTACGGAGGTGAGCCTCGTTATCCCGATAGAATCTTCGCTTGGTAGCCTCATAGTGATCCGCATCCGGTTGCATTTTTTCACTTGCAGTTGATTTCGCAAATCGGATTGGATTGGCGTCATGAAGTCTTCCGAGGCTATAGTTGTACAAGGGCAATGAGAATAACTCGGAGAGAGGAACTTCTACTGAGTTGTTTGCACTGAACTGAAGTTTTTAGATTTTGTTTCCATACAGTATAAGCAACCGGTTTCAACTAGAAATACTCAGAGGGAGAGATGGGCGGAGAAAACAAAATACAATTCGGCAGCAGGGATTTGTTTCTAAACTATCTTGCAACCCTTGCTAAAACTTAGCATTTCACATGACTTTTACTTTTGATACGATTTACGTGTAAATTAATAATTGATTGCATCGCAATATTTTGCTCATTTTTTGGTGCCATTAATTAACCAAGTAAGATCAATTAATCAATAGAGCTAGAATATTGCTTTTGATTCCAAAAACTAGTTGAATTTGAGAAGCACATGAAACATAAAGGTGATTGAATTTCTGTTCGATTGTTATACTCTCAAATTTAATCTAGTAAGAATAAGAAATCCTCAGAAAAAAATCTAATGGGCATGTTCATTTGGCTCAGATTTTGACAGTTCATTTGGCTCAAAACATTATCTCCGCTCATCTCTCCTTCTAGTATTTCTAGTTTCAACTAACGATTTTAAATTGGTTCACTACTTCTACTAGCCGATTGGTTTTAAAGCATTTAGATATTATTTTTTTTTAATTTCAATCAATTTAGGATTTGTTTAACTGAATATTGTACTAATCAATTTCAAGTCTCAAATTTCGAAAGTTTAAAAAGTCCCATAATTTCTTGAAATTTTTCTTAGTTAAAAACCATGTAATTTTTTCGAAAATCAGTAAATCGAACGTCTTTACGTTAAATGGGTAATAAGGCACATTTTGGTGGAAAAGTGAGAGATCAAACCTAAAAAAAAAATGTTCTTAAAATAAAGATTCTAAAAAATTCAAGATCTCTCACTAACATTGTTTTGTACCGCATTCAATAACAGTTTTCGTTTAATTCTAAACTATTTTTTCTGGATTATCCTTGAGATGATCTACATATTTCTGATCTTGATAAATAAATCACTGGGATAACATCATCATGGAAAACAAGAAATTCCTTTGAATTTTTCTTTGTTATCTACCTAAGACAGGAGCTGATCACCTTTTCGTGGTGCGTTACCGCGTAAGATCCATCACATCGCTTTTCTTTTTGAAGATGTGGAGTCTCTGTTTTGAGAGTCTCCGAGGAACTAAGATTGGAATCAATAAAAAGGTTCGGAGCAGGGTTATGATGCATGGTCAAATATCCAATTGTGAACTAAGAAAATGATGTTTGAAAAATCTCCTTTACAATTCGGCTAATTTTTAGAAGAAAAAAATACTTCTTACTATGAATAAATGGCCACTTGTGTCGGGTATGACAATATAAATTCTAAACAATTGGTAAATTGCGGACTGATTTCATGTTTATTATACATTATTAGGCCTTTCCAAATGTTCAGTACATGCATACTGGGATCTAATCTTTCTATTACATTCGTAAAAACTATAGGATATTTGTTAAGATTTTTTGTTTTCAAAAATATGAATCGGTTTCCTTTTTTCAAAACTCTTTTATGGATGAGTATATTCCAATAATAAATCATTTTATTTCGATGGTGTAATCACACACTAGAAGAAAATATGGGTACAGTAATATGTTCATTGTAAGGCAACACTTCATTACATCCCAATGAAGTCCCAATAAACTATTTGATTACCTTATGCTACCTTATTTATCCTTCTACTAAAACCTTGGTTATTGGTTTGCTGTCAACAAGTCTTCATTGTAAAGTTTTCGAAATATATTTTATGCGCTTGAGTTTTTGTTATGCTAGTTTCTTATCCGTTGTGTTGTTCCAAAACAAACTTGTATTAAGCATTAATTCGAATCGGTGCACTTTCATTTCCATGTTAAAACCATCTTATCATTGTAACCATCACTAATTCGCCTAACAAAAAAAAAAAAAAAAACAAATCCTTCATTCGGTTCATTCTGCTAAGGTTTACTTACGTTCGAGAGTTTTATTTCCGTGGTATCTCTCTCCCCGTCTCATTGCAGGGAATACCTGTATGATGCTTACAGTGAGCGGGACAACATCCCACTAGCGAGGTAAGTTGTGCCTCTAATCGCATCCCAATTCAGTGTTCAACCCATATATCATATCTAATCTCAGAGCAGGGCAAAATCGAAATCAAAATTCCATACATAAGCAGTCGACTTCAAGTCAGCTTGAATGTTCTACCATTTTACCGTTGTCTCGTATTACTATTTTGACCGCATCCCATTTAAACTGTTTTGGGCGTTTTTTTTTCCTAGTTGACAAGCAAAAATTTCTTCCTAAATTATCAAACAATTATCGATAATATATGCTTTTGTTACTTTTAGTGGTCCAAAAAACAAGCGCCGTAAGAAGAACGATCGTCGTCGGGAATCCCGCGATCGGCGTGACGTGTACTACGAAGATGGAAGTCCTTCCGGAGGACACAGTCGGGAACCGAGATACAATGATATGGCACCAAAGTGAGTACTCTTCGGTTAACATCCAAATCCAAATCAGAATTCATCTCCCTCCCCTGTCTCAGTAATACCGTCAAACATGCGATTTAGAAAATAGTTGTCTAGATCACATCACATACACCACACAAACAGCCGATCACTGAATTAGATTCTAGGTTCATTCCGGTTCATTAGATACGACTAGTGGTCGATGCTTCCGATACTAAACCCATTTCCCGGTGGTATCCAACGGTGGTGCCACTGATCCATGTTCAACTAAATACCACTCCCTAACACCGTCCTTGTACTCTTCCAGTCTAGTGCCTCAAATTCCATCAATACTAACCAATAGCAGTAGTAACGAACGACGCGATCTCATCGGGGACATTCCGGAGTCCCCCTCGAAGGTGGCAAGTCCGCCTCCATCGCCGAACCGATTACTCAGTCGACTCTTTCAACGCTCACTGTTCGAAGACTTCCACAAAGTGGGCGGTCGGGATGATACCGGCTTCGGCTGGGAAGTGAACGTCAGCCGAAGCAATAGCAGTGTGGGTTCCATTCGGTCAATGGGAATCTTGGCCAGCAGAACGCCTTCGCCACTTGACTTCCGAACGGTTTCGTTCCGAAGACCACGATCACTGGTGGACGATATCGATAAGTCAAAACGAGCCCGATCGTCTTTAAGGACCGACAGTGGATTCGAGCGATACTAATATCTCACACAATGAATGGCTGTGATAAATGCAATCATAATCCAAAGGCTTCCACCAAGTCATCTACTAACAAACAGGTTATAATGTTGGAGACATTAATGTTTACCATGTGGGCAACTCATTCCTCCCTCGTTACCTACTAGAATTGTTTCGTTTTAGATGAGTCATGTCCTAGAAGCACATCAAACAAATCGAACTACATTTTTAGTGTGCTACCTAATTCTTGAAAATCTCTTGCACTTCCATTTCCGCATTGGATCCGTACAACAATTTCACGCTTTGGATGGCCTATCCATTCCATCCTGTAAATACACAAAGCAGAACATTAAATCCTTTCCATTAGTTACTGATTTATAGGTATTCGCTGTTCCCATTCGAGTCAATGTTTCCTTTATCTAGAAGCTTCCTCCGATGGTCAAACCTTTCATACTTATAATTAAATGTTGTGTAATTGTGTATTTCTACATATTCCATCTATATGTTGGAAAAGATGCAACTATGTGGCCTGCAATGGCAATGGTACGACAAACTGTGGCCGGCCCTCGTATCGTCAATTTTGAAGGTGTTTTGCCTTTATTGCTGCGCAATTGTGAGTAAAAGTGTGTATGGCTACGTATTGTAATGATGTAAGGGTTTTTTTTTCTGACCTCCTTGAAAAATAATAAGTACCTCCTGTCATAGTTTTGTGTGGTTTTTCTCTCATACATCCATAACCGCATCTCCATTGCCGAGTAGTGCTAATTCTCCCTTTCTAACCCTTGTTCAGCTCCAGAAATCAGTTGGAATGAATGATATGATTTAACCACTCCTATTTCCGTTTTCGATAGAAATGGAATTTCCATACACGTTGCTTGTTTAAGGGATATCCGTTTCGATCGAAGAAAAGAATTGAAGTGAATGTTAGATTAAAGTGGAGCACTCAAAACAAACTTTAAGGTGGTGGAATTGTTTAAAAAAATTAAGACTTTTGCCCTGTAATCAGATTAAGGAATACCGTACATTCACAGCTGTGAGTACCTAGTGATGAAATTAATTTACTCAACAACGAAAAACCACCAACACCGTCTAATAAACAGAAGAATCTGAAACGGATTCAGAAACAAGTCGCATCCGACAAACCGGAGGTTCGGATGGGGGGAATGTTGTTTTTCAAAGAGTTACGTCTGTTTGTCTGTGGTTAATCGTTACATTACAACCCTACAAACAGATACCTGAAGTTCACTAAGTCTTAATTAACCATTTAGTCAAGCTTCTGCAATAATTTTCCATCAGATATCACTGCTGTGGTTTGTGGTGACATTTATCGGAAATTACACATAATCGCTTTCCGTTAGTTGTTCACAGAGGACAGCGCAGTACAAAAAAACAAGAAATCCCTTTCACAGACTACAACACAGAGTACCTGATACTGCTAAACCTGGTACCTCTGTATATGCATTTAGATTAGCATCCGAAGTCTCTCCTTATTTGCATACACGGCACAAAAAGTGGTCTCTATGCCCAATCTCTACACGGCAAAAAAATGTTCATGTAAAGTGATTTACTATTGAATTTGCACTTCTTACCAAACATTGCAATTCGATGTGGAAATCCCTTGGAAGAGATCATATCGAAGCACGATGAAATCAACAGCAAATCACTTTATTTCAAAGTGTATTGCACATCGTTGCTGATGTGCTGTGCTTTGAACTCGAAATGTTAACCATGCTGATGTTAACAATCTATCACTTTAAGTTTAACTAATTTATCCTTGGATTTCATGTTTGCTGAAAATGGGTTTAAATAAATATATTGCCTTGTTGCAGTATGAACTATGTTATATGTTATTCAGAATATGACCATAGAACATGTATCATATTACTAACCCGTGCAAACTAACGATTTTAAATTGGCTCACTACTTGACTAGCCTATTGGTCCCAAGCAAATCGATTAACTTATCCCATTCTAGTTGAAATTCTAGTACTACCCTTTGTTTGTTTTGATTCGCTATGAATGCTTGACAGATAAAATGAGAGGTTCGTAAATTTTCCTATGTTTCGAGGGGTGCATCGATTAGCTTGGGACCGAAGATAGTACCAGAGCTGAGCCAAAAAGTTGAGCACGTTTCTTCGGGACCTTCTAGTCTTAGAGTTACCTCTATAATATTACTACCCAGATCACATGTTTCTTGATAATGTTGGCAATGTTTTGTAATAGAACTTATCTGAATAATACACTATTATTGAAAAAAGCAACAATTTCGTAATACTAACGCACTATAATGCAAATTATTTCGGGTGAAAATGGAGAATTATCTCGCTTGACTTCATTTGTTGTTGATTTGGCATCTTCGGGAGTAATGCTTGGTAAGTGCGTTTTTGACATTTGCTTCCAAAAGCAAAACTAATCAAATTCAATGGATGAGCTTGAGCTTGAGCTTGAGCTTGATTGACCGCCCACGGTTGCTACTCTGTTACTGCCAGATCAGCTGTAATTACACAGAGAACCAATAGACGATGCTTGGGACTAGCAATCATCCTCAATGTGTAAAAACTGGTGACCTTAAATTAGGCAATACCAGCGCCGGCCGCGCCTGAACACAGGTCAAGAAAGGAATGGGAAGGATTGTGTTGACATGACACTCGCTTTGATGGAAGCCGAGAACACCTCTGCACTTCCACGAGGAATCACTGGGATGTTGGATAAGAGGGTTGGGTTTGCAGCAGGGTTCGTTTTGGGAAACGATAAGCTGAATTGATGTCTTAACGATCATATAACGCGAAGGAGCTTGGGACTAAACCCACGGTCTTCTGCTCAGTAAGCAAAAACGTTTGCCACTAGGCAGACGAGCACCTTTTTAATCACCGAGTTGCTGTTATTACCATGTAGTCATATTAACAAATAAAACGATTGACGAATCTTGAATGTGGATGGGCCTGAGATTAGACTCATGATGTTCTGCTCAGTAAGCAAAAACGGTTGCTCTAAGGCCACCGAGCCCCTCATATCACATAATACCGTTGCTCAAATTTGTGTATCCATTCAAACCCGGAACCAACGACAACAACGAGTTTCGCAAAATACACGATACACAAGCGATTTTACCATAAATCTCTTTGATATGTAAGGACATAGGACCGTGTTTTTCTGCTCAGTAAGGAGGCCACTGTAACCGACGATCTTTCAAATCCGAAAACTAAAAACTACGAAAAAGTACTTAGCCCTTCATTAAGTTCCACTTTCACGCGACGTTCAATGACAGGGTCCTATCCAGGATTACATCTGAAAAATCCAAATCTGGCCAACGCCCACCTAAACCTGTTCTAATCTACCTGAAATGACTAACGAATGGAAGACTATGACTACCCAGCCATGCAATAGTCTCATTCCGTGCCTTATGGCAACTTGATGATTCTATTGCGCTCATCTTTTGGCACCACCCAGAGGAGACTTGGTCCTGTACCCAATGCTTAACTTATTTCCATTCCACTCAGCTACTCGCAATTTCTTGTGATATAGTGGGCGGAATATTATTATATGAGACAATTCAATGCAGACCTCTTTCCAAATTTGGCAGATCGACAGGTAATCGGTGAGTTACCACGATAGTTGCTATTCAACAACTCGACAACGTCCCATCGTCAACGCCTGCTATGAGAATTTCCCATTGCAGACGCCAACGAAATGACGTCATCGAGCTATCGATCAACTACCCTGGTTATCGCCTGGTACCTTATAGCACGATGCTAGGAGGCGAACCGGAAGAATCGATGAGCTACCTCTTCCACAAAACTAATCAAATTCAATGGATGAAAACAGAAGTGCCAATTCAAATGATAACCATTACCATTAACATTACCATTAACACCTTTACATCAAAGGTGTTATATAGTACATATTTTTCAACGACATATCACTTTGTTTCAAAACGCAAATCACTTAAAAATCAATGATAAATCACTTCGATTCGTAGTGCCGCATGACAGATCACACAGGTCACTTGAGCCGAGACAGATCACACAGGTCACGGAAACGACCAAATTGTTGGCAAACTGCTTCACGAAGTCGAAGATTATACACGTGTGTAAATGGGAATTGGGTTCTTTAGGGGTGTTGAGGTAAATGCATATTCGTAATCTGCATTAAAAATGGAACCCAAACCCAAAATTTCATCGATTTCGGTACACTGGAACTATTTTAAATAAGTTTGATTACATTTGCAAACATCACCTTATTAGTGCCCCTCGGTGACACTTTGTGTGGGAGCGAGCTGTCAGTTTGTCAGTTTAGTGTCAAACAGTGAAGTTATCATTTTGGTTTAAATCTTGAT